CCCCCCGGTGACCCCCACAACCACAGCTCCTGTTCCCTAACAGCGGGGTGGGAACCGACCCTCTGTGAGCCCCACAACCCAAGCTCCAGTCCCCAAACAACGGGGCTGAGACTAACCTGCTGTGAGTCCCACAACCACAGCTCCTGTTCCTTAACAACGGGGCTGGAACTGACCCTCTGGGAGCCCCACAACCACAGCTCCTGTTCCTTAACAACGGGGCTGGAACTGACCCTCTGGGAGCCCCACAACCACAGCTCCTGTTCCTTAACAACGGGGCTGGAACTGACCCTCTGGGAGCCCCACAACCACAGCTCCTGTTCCTTAACAACGGGGCTGGAACTGACCCTCTGGGAGCCCCACAACCACAGCTCCTGTTCCTTAACAACGGGGCTGGAACTGACCCTCTGGGAGCCCCACAACCACAGCTCCTGTTCCTTAACAACGGGGCTGGAACTGACCCTCTGGGAGCCCCACAACCACAGCTCCTGTTCCTTAACAACGGGGCTGGAACTGACCCTCTGGGAGCCCCACAACCACAGCTCCTGTTCCTTAACAACGGGGCTGGAACTGACCCTCTGGGAGCCCCACAACCACAGCTCCTGTTCCTTAACAACGGGGCTGGAACTGACCCTCTGGGAGCCCCACAACCACAGCTCCTGTTCCTTAACAACGGGGCTGGAACTGACCCTCTGGGAGCCCCACAACCACAGCTCCTGTTCCTTAACAACGGGGCTGGAACTGACCCTCTGGGAGCCCCACAACCACAGCTCCTGTTCCTTAACAACGGGGCTGGAACTGACCCTCTGGGAGCCCCACAACCACAGCTCCTGTTCCTTAACAACGGGGCTGGAACTGACCCTCTGGGAGCCCCACAACCACAGCTCCTGTTCCTTAACAACGGGGCTGGAACTGACCCTCTGGGAGCCCCACAACCACAGCTCCTGTTCCTTAACAACGGGGCTGGAACTGACCCTCTGGGAGCCCCACAACCACAGCTCCTGTTCCTTAACAACGGGGCTGGAACTGACCCTCTGGGAGCCCCACAACCACAGCTCCTGTTCCTTAACAACGGGGCTGGAACTGACCCTCTGGGAGCCCCACAACCACAGCTCCTGTTCCTTAACAACGGGGCTGGAACTGACCCTCTGGGAGCCCCACAACCACAGCTCCTGTTCCTTAACAACGGGGCTGGAACTGACCCTCTGGGAGCCCCACAACCACAGCTCCTGTTCCTTAACAACGGGGCTGGAACTGACCCTCTGGGAGCCCCACAACCACAGCTCCTGTTCCTTAACAACGGGGCTGGAACTGACCCTCTGGGAGCCCCACAACCACAGCTCCTGTTCCTTAACAACGGGGCTGGAACTGACCCTCTGGGAGCCCCACAACCACAGCTCCTGTTCCCTAACAACGGGGCTGGCACCGACACTCAGAGTCCCACAACCACAGCTCCTGTCCCTTAACAACGGGGCTGGAACTGACCCTCTGTGAGCCCCACAACCGCAGCTCCTGTCCCCTAACAACGGGGCGGGCACCGACCCTCTGTGAGCCCCACAACGGGGCTGGGACCGACCCTCTGTGAGCCCCACAACGGGGCTGGGACCGACCCTCTGTGAGCCCCACAACGGGGCTGGGACCGACCCTCTGTGAGCCCCACAACGGGGCTGGGACCGACCCTCTGTGAGCCCCACAACGGGGCTGGGACCGACCCTCTGTGAGCCCCACAACGGGGCTGGGACCGACCCTCTGTGAGCCCCACAACGGGGCTGGGACCGACCCTCTGTGAGCCCCACAACGGGGCTGGGACCGACCCTCTGTGAGCCCCACAACGGGGCTGGGACCGACCCTCTGTGAGCCCCACAACGGGGCTGGGACCGACCCTCTGTGAGCCCCACAACGGGGCTGGGACCGACCCTCTGTGAGCCCCACAACGGGGCTGGGACCGACCCTCTGTGAGCCCCACAACGGGGCTGGGACCGACCCTCTGTGAGCCCCACAACGGGGCTGGGACCGACCCTCTGTGAGCCCCACAACGGGGCTGGGACCGACCCTCTGTGAGCCCCACAACGGGGCTGGGACCGACCCTCTGTGAGCCCCACAACGGGGCTGGGACCGACCCTCTGTGAGCCCCACAACGGGGCTGGGACCGACCCTCTGTGAGCCCCACAACGGGGCTGGGACCGACCCTCTGTGAGCCCCACAACGGGGCTGGGACCGACCCTCTGTGAGCCCCACAACGGGGCTGGGACCGACCCTCTGTGAGCCCCACAACGGGGCTGGGACCGACCCTCTGTGAGCCCCACAACGGGGCTGGGACCGACCCTCTGTGAGCCCCACAACGGGGCTGGGACCGACCCTCTGTGAGCCCCACAACGGGGCTGGGACCGACCCTCTGTGAGCCCCACAACGGGGCTGGGACCGACCCTCTGTGAGCCCCACAACGGGGCTGGGACCGACCCTCTGTGAGCCCCACAACGGGGCTGGGACCGACCCTCTGTGAGCCCCACAACGGGGCTGGGACCGACCCTCTGTGAGCCCCACAACGGGGCTGGGACCGACCCTCTGTGAGCCCCACAACGGGGCTGGGACCGACCCTCTGTGAGCCCCACAACGGGGCTGGGACCGACCCTCTGTGAGCCCCACAACGGGGCTGGGACCGACCCTCTGTGAGCCCCACAACGGGGCTGGGACCGACCCTCTGTGAGCCCCACAACGGGGCTGGGACCGACCCTCTGTGAGCCCCACAACGGGGCTGGGACCGACCCTCTGTGAGCCCCACAACGGGGCTGGGACCGACCCTCTGTGAGCCCCACAACGGGGCTGGGACCGACCCTCTGTGAGCCCCACAACGGGGCTGGGACCGACCCTCTGTGAGCCCCACAACGGGGCTGGGACCGACCCTCTGTGAGCCCCACAACGGGGCTGGGACCGACCCTCTGTGAGCCCCACAACGGGGCTGGGACCGACCCTCTGTGAGCCCCACAACCACAGCTCCTGTCCCCTAACAATGGGGCTGGAACTGACCCTCTGTGAGTCCCACAACCACAGCTCCTCTCCCCAAACAACGGGGCTGGGACTGGCACTCTGTGAGCCCCACAACCACAGCTCCTGTCCCCTAACAACGGGGCTGGGACCGACCCTCTGTGAGCCCCACAACCACAGCTCCTGTCCCCTAACAACGGGGCTGGGACCGACCCTCTGTGAGCCCCACAACCACAGCTCCTGTCCCCTAACAACAGGGCTGAGACCAACCCTCTGTGAGCCCCACAACCACAGCTCCTGTCCCCTAACAATGGGGCTGGGACTTACTCTCTGTGAGCCCCACAACCACAGCTCCTCTCTCATAGCAAGAATGTGAGAATGAACCCTTTCCCCCATTAGTAGGGTTGCCAACTTAATTGTGGAAACTCAAAGATTTGCCCCGTCTCACTCCTTCCCGAGGCCATGCTCCTGTCCCACCCCTTCTTTGGGGCCCCGCTCAAACTCATTCTATCCCTTCTGCTTCTGTCGCTCACTTGCTCCACCCTTCAGCCACTTTGACCAGGCTGGAGCAGGGATTGGGGTGCAGGAGGGGTTGGACTCTGGGAGGACGTTTGGGTATGGAAGGGGTTCAGGGTGCGGACTCTGGGAGGAAGTTTAAGTGCAGGAAAAGTGCAGGGTTGGCTCTGGGAAGGGGTTTGGGTGCAGAGGGAGGGGAGTTTGGGTGCAGAAGTGGGAGGGGTCAAGATCTGGGAGAGAGTTTGGGTGTGGGGTGCAGGATCTAGGCTGTAGGAGGGGGTTGGCACATATTCCAGATGGTGCAGCTCCTGAAGGTACATCATTGTGCCAGCGGCTTCTCCTGGACAGGGGGCCATGGAATCTCCATGTGCCACTGCCTGCAGGCACTACCCCTGCAGCTCCCATTGGCTGTAGTTCCTGGACAATGGGAGCAGTAGAGTCAGCACTCTGGAAGAGGGAACATGCATTGACTCCCTGTTCCCACCCACGGGCTGCAGGGACAGTGCTGGCCACTTCATGGTGCGACACAGAGTGAAAGCAGGTAAAGGAGTCTGCTTTTGCTCTGCTGGACTAATAGCACCCAAAGCCTCCCAATTTGGCTGAAGGTGCCTCTAGGAAACAGGGCATGATTCCAGAAGACTCCCAGCAAAAGCGGGAGGGTCAGCAACTCTACCTGTGAGCCCCATAACTGCAGCTCCTTTCCCCTTGCAATGGGGCCTGGGATTGACCCCCCTGTGGCCCCTATATCCACAGCACCTCTCCCATAGCAATGGGACCAGCTGTTTGACCCTCCCATGAGATCTGTAACCACAGATCCTCTCCCCTAGCAACAGGGCACTGTGACTCCTACAAGTACAGCTCCCCTTTCCCTGGCACTCTCACAGCAGTGCGGTCTGGGGCCAGATTCCTCATGAGCTCCAGAAACACAGAATCTGTGACCATAGGCGTGCACACGGGGTGTGTCGGGTGTGCCCAGGCACACCCTAATGTCTCAGGCCAGCTAGCCTCAGCCATTTTTGCGCCCTGTGCCCAACCTGGCCTGGCAGCACCGCGTGGCCCAGCAGCATGGCGTGGTGCCCCTG